TATAGCTCCACAAGAACAGGAGAGAGCCTGATGGGATCTAGAACTGTACCACAGTGAAAAAACAGCACTGCTGGCTGGAGGAGGGCTTCTTACGTGAGAGGCATTCACAAATGCCAGCTGTGTTAGGGCTGGTGTTAAATGCAGAACTAGCAATATTAAACCAAGCTAGGCAAACTGATGTCTGCAGAGCTGACAGGTCAGGCTGTAGAGTGCAAAAACCCAATGACACACACGTAACATATAACAAACACCTGCAAACACTTCTAAAGTTGGCTTTGAAGCCAATTAAATCCGTGTGCTTTTGCCCCTTCCTCCCTAACCCCATAGTCTCTACATTCTCAGTATCTGGTACCACATTTGCCAGTTACAAAGCTTCCCTAACATTTTCTGCTCTACAGGGTTTCGTCAACTCTTTTAAGCACTGTATTAGCATGTTAGCAGTACATTCCAGTGCAAGTCTTAAGCTGCCCTCTAACGGTCATTATTCACTTCTCTAAAGAAAACTAAACCAGGCTCTATCCCCTTAATGCTTGTGGGTTTAATCCCAGCCAGCAGTTAAGTACCACATCGCTTACCTCCCCCGCTCCTCCAGTGGAAGAGAATCTGAGGAACAGACAGGGAGGCTCGTGGGTTGAGATAAGAACAATTTAATAATAGAGTATAAATGAAATAAGTAAATAACATGTAATGAAAATAACGGAAAACTAATAATAAAGCCACTCACCGCCCACCAACCAACCAAGAGCCAGAGCTGGAAAGAGAGAACCCACCCCTGGACCAACTGCCAACTTACTGAGTATGACATTTGATGGAATGAAATACTCCCTAGCCAGTCGGGGCCAGCCATCCTGACCAGGTCTCCTCCCAGCTTCTTGTAGCAACGAAGCGGGGAACACAGACGCAGCACCAGAAACCGAAGAAGTCCTTGACTTTGTACAAACACTCGTTACCAACAACTAAAACCACTAGTATTGCACAATTTGAACACAATTTCATTTCAAAGGAGGTACTAAGTACATTAAGGAAATAAAGAAAATTCAGTAGTGAAAGATTCCTCTTAACTATCATATCTTTAAAAAAATAACTCTTGATAAAACACTGTCCTGAACCAGACAGTAAAACCTAGAATGTTAGCTTCATAATATACTAATACTATGAACTAGCAGCTAACTATTAATCACCAAGCATAGATAGCGATACTGTTAAATAAGAAAGAGGGCCACTGATAGCTTTGCAATCATAGAATAAAGAAGAGATGCTATGTAAACCAAATGCTAAAAAAATTCATTAGTTCTGTATTAGCAGATAAAGCCAGCTCCTAAATGTAGCTAAAACAGCACATAACAAGGTCATACTGCAAAGTATTTCCTCCATACTCACATACTGTTCTTCCCTCCTCCCTTGCCCCCCAACGTTGTTCTTCATAGAATCATAGAATGGTTTGGGTTGGAAGGGACCTTAAAGATCATCCAGTTCCAACCCCCCTGCCATGGGCAGGGACACCTTGCACTAGACCAGGTTGCTCCACGCCACATCCAGCCTGGCCTTGGAGACATCCAGGGATGGGGCATCCACAGCTTCTCTGGGCAACCTGTTCCAGTGCCTCACTTCAAACAATACAACCTCACTACTGCCTGTTTCTGCCTTCTAGACCTGCAATACCATGACATTTTGAGAAAGCAGCACCTAGAAGAGTTAGAAAAAGCCATCTACCTAAAAATGAATGCTTAAAATACTTTTGTGCTTTTACTGTACCAGTCCCACCAGATGATCACATTAAGAACCAGTGTAACTTGTTAATATACACAAGACTGAATAAAAGACAGTAACTGATACCTGAATTCTAGACCAGCCTACAAAGGCTCCAACTGTGGTGCTCTCCAACAGAGACGTAATGCGCTTTCATTTAGATGAGACATTTATTAAATTAGAATGAAAAAGTTAACGTACTTTAGAGTGCAAGAAACATTTGGACACTGGACTTGAATACAGAGAAACAATGTCTTCAGAATAATTACAGCAAAAAAACCCATCCTCTGTACATATCAACCAAACAAGCAATAACATGTGTAAGGGAAAAAGGGAAAAAACATTCAGTACCATCAGCAGATGCAAAGAGCAGTAAGGAAGAAAGTAGCAAGGATCTAGCTAGACAAAAATTGTTCCTACCTTTATCAAGTTTAGGCTCTTGGCAGGACTCAAACTAGCACTAAAAGCACTAACTTTTAGCAGATGCCAGTCTTAGCTGGCTTTGGCTCCAAGCTACTTGAAGCTGTTGAGCAGAAGAGCAGCATCACAGTATTATCCCATTAGCATTTTGTCAAAAGCTACAATCATTAAGAGTGACAATTTTTGTTTTAAATCAAGAAACAGACTTTCCGTTCCAACACTTTAATTTCACAGACCATAGAATAACTACACACTCCCTGCCTTTTTTCATCTCTCCAATTCAAACCTGACTGTGAACAGTTTGACTGAGAGGATATGCTTGCTGAAAAGCTGAGTAGGTTTATGATCAGTGTTTTGTTCTTTTTAACAAGATAAAGTAGCACATCCTGATGTAAGAGTTTCAGCTATAATGCTTAATTAAATCAAGACAAAAAATCCCCAGAATAACATTTAAGTATAGCGTAACATGCTGAAACCCATCTACTGACTGTACTGCTCCTACATATCCCATCTTCAACTCCTACATCTACCCTGTTTTGCACAACATTTGCCTAGAACAAAACGAAGAACAATTCTAAGAACAGGAGCCTCTCTCAGAGGCCCAAAGCCGTGTTTATGAATAAACCTGGCTAGCCTCACATTCACACTTACCCCTCCCGGCACTTAGGATTGACAGGGGTTTGTTCTATACTTGAAATTGAGCAGTAATAGGATGCAGTACAATCTACCAGCCATTAAGTTGCACCGTGACCACCTGCTTTTATAAAAAGCTGTACTATGGACCCCAATGTTTTAATATAAAAATTTAAATATATACATTTTCCCTGAATTGTTCCATCCCTAGCAATTCATACTATCTGTGTCAAAGTTAGAGAAAGGGACTCTCCCTGGAGATATGAAAGCATTAGATCCTTACCCATATATTTACCCTTTTGGGTGATGATGTCACAAATCACTGTGCTAAAGATCAAATGCCTCTACATTTACTCAATCACAACAGTTACCATGTTTGTAGGGAGAGGCCTAGACTAGTTTCTTTATTTTAGAAAATAAAAATGGGGTGACTCTGCCAACTAAAGCACACAATCTACAGCCTTAAATATAATTATTGAAAAGCCAATTGGAATAAAGACATTTATGCTTCCAACAGTAAATTTAAGATGGTAAAGGATTCATAAAAAAATTTAAACCCATACATTATGAAAAGACAGCTTTAAAAGGTCAGAAACTGGAACGATTTTTGGTGTTGTATTTTAAAACTTTCAGCATCACTTTTAACCATTAAAAAAAAAAAAAGAATATTCATACTCTACTGCCAGTGCTGCCTAAAAGCTTCTTGATGGGAGAGGGTAGGGGGAAGGAATAAAAATCAGCTTTTCAGCAGATAAAGAAAATATTTTAAGCACAAGACATGAAACAAAGTGTGAGGAAGAAGAGATTATGGGTCCCTTTTCCCTATTCCAAGCCTGGCTTTAATGTTCTCACGAATCACTCAAGAGCCTAGATTTCAAGTGTACATTCATTCCAACTCTTGAAAATATAAAGGTCTATGGCTATTGTAGAAATCATTTTAAATCAAACATTAAAAAGATAAAACAGCAACATTGCACATCACTGGAAAAATAAACCGGTGCATACTATTTAAAGTGCATTACTTTACCAGCTACTAAAACAGACACCACAGAAATTTATCCAACAGGTGTAAATGGTGCATACTGTAAGATTCTGCAGCTCCAAGATGAACTGTTATCCAAAAAAAATAACACTATGAATAAATACAAGCAACCTGCAACCTCCTTTAAGGATCAGATTATAAATCAGATATGTTAAATTTTCTCTCACAAAGAATTTATTTCCATCGGCATCAAAAAATAATAAATTGACTACAGCAACTGTAGCTTGACAACTCGCCGAGGAACTCAATGCCATTCAAAGATTCTGAAGCTACTTTTCGTGCTTTTTTCATATTACAGGAAAATAGACAATAGTTTTTCCACTGATATAAAATGATAATTTTGCTGAAATATAGGTGTAAAGAAAAGCCTTGTAACCAGATTATAGACTTCTGCTTTTTTAATGTAAGACAACACCTTAAGTAATTGTTTATGGCTTCAGTAATTTTCCAGATATAAAAACCTTTTATTCTGCACTTGTCCTGTGAAACAGCCATGGGAATGCAGAAGTAGTAGTTAGAGTGCAATTAACTGTGGGAATACATTAGGTCTCAGTCCTGCTCTCTGGTACGGCAATACATACTGTACAATTTAAATTACCTGTTAAGATTTTACAGACATATAACAATACTATATGGGAGGATAAAGCCCCAAATGCACACCAGGTAATATATTGCTTGGTGCCCGATGACTAAATTGAATAGGAGATATTCATTACAAATCCCAACAGCGCAACCTAAGAAATTTACCTTATTAAAAATCTTGAATCAAAGAGTTTAATATATCACAGCAATAACTAAACACCACAGGACAAGGAAAGGGTCTTTCTTTTAATTTCTGGCAGAAACAGGCTGCTTGATGAAACCTAAATATTTTAATAAATCAGTTATGTTTAAAGAGCAAAACCTCTGCGGGGGGAGGGGAGGAAACATCAATCTAAACCAGTAGTAAATCCTGCACTGCATGTACTGCATAGAGTTACTTTGTAAGAACAAGTTTATGAAAAGTGGGAGAGAAAGAAAAAAGCAGCAGCATTACTCCCCCCTCCATCAGAATATAGCCACACAGGGCACAGCTGATAGTAAAGATGCTCCAATGCTGTATCGTAGGACATAAGCTAAACTGAGTATGTACAGACTGAGAAAGGAAGTGACAGAGATCCACATGTCCAAGGAGAAAATGGGTATAACCTTTAACAAAGGATGCGCTAACAGAAAGCCTTTGGGAAATTCTTCCTCTAGCTAAATCCCTGGCTTGGCAAGTAAAAATAAGTGGCATCGAGAGCAGGGACTATGTATGAAGTGGGAATCTATGATTCTTCAGCCATCTGAAGCAAGGAGTTGATAGCTGCATCCTTGCTCCCCCTCTGAGCTTCTAGCACTGAGCGGATTACTTCCCTGTCCATGTTGGGAAACATGTCCTGGATAGATTTCAGGTCCTCTTCATTACACAGGTGCTGAGGGTTGACCGCAGGAGGTGGTATTGCTACCGGTACCATGCCTGGATTACAGACTGTAGGCATCCCTGCAGGCACAAAAGAGTTAAAAAATAAAAAAACAAACAAACAAACCATACATGAGTGGGGAAAACAAAATTTTAAAAATTAATTAAGTGGCTCATGACTCACCCCAACCCAACTGCAGCATTCAACTTTTTTTTAAACATGTACTCCAAAAAAAAAACTACAAGATTCCCGAAATTATACACCTAGACTGTTGCCATCAGAACACATTTTTATGGAACAGGTTCTCTGCCCAAGTTCGGTTCCAGAAGTGGTAAACTACAGTATGGCAACAGGTACAGCTCAAAATTAGGCATGACTTGCAATAAGCAGCTTTACAAACAAATCACTAACCAAACACTAAGCGCACCGCAGAAAGGTGGGCGTAGTTTCCCCCCAGCTCTAAACTCCAAAAACAAGGCACCCATCATATTTCAGTTCCTAGTGTATTTATGTTGCGATGAAAAGGATGGTTTTACATGAGCAATATGCATATCACGTTTAGAAATTCTATGAAGGCAACCTCAAAGGAAAGCAAAGCACTTTGGTCCAATATCAGACTGGACCACACTCATATGCAAATTTTAAGCAAATGTTTTTCTGTGTTTGAAGTCCATCCAGTTCAGCCTGCAAAGCTGAAGTGGCAAAAGAGGAATTCTTATGCCTATAGGGTTACACACTGCTTTTCCCTGTTCTTCCACCAGAGGACAAAGCTCATCTGGCATTTTTCATTAACTTCTTATATGTCTCTGTAAAATTAAAGCACTGTCAGTTTACGAAGACAGATTTAGAAAATTCTAATTCCTATTAAAAGAAATAACTAGGAAAAAGTCACTTCTCATCACTTAACTTTTATCATTAATTAAACATAGATCCGTTGCTGATAAAAACGCCATTTGTTTTTATCAAACTGAAACCAGATATAGTATACATCTACAGTATTTTCTTACCACTTCTTCATTTTTTCTCTAAGTAGTTCCAGAGCCCTGATTAACTTAGTCCCCCACCTCTGTGTGTTACTTTTCCAGCTCTGCTATACTGTTTCTAAAGTGTGGCAAGAGAACTACCTGCATCTAGATGCAAACATGGCACTGCTTCACACAGCAGCACGATAAAGCTTTTGTATTTTTTCTCTATTTGCTTTCAAGCATTTTATCTTCTATTTCAAACACTATTCACCTGGTATTTTCACAGAATAGTATGTGTAGTAATGACCAATATAGAAATCATCACCAAGTATGTATCAGTTAGGATTTTTCTCTAGACGAACACTTCAATGCCAGTCTTAGTACGTGATTTTATTTCCCATTTACTGTAATGGGATCCTTCTGCACCCTGCTGCAGTCAGAAACACTTAGGAAATTGTGTAAGAGTTTCTGTTTTGACAAACTGTCTATTAGTCCCCTCTCCTCAACTAGTTTAAAAATATGATGCACCCCAAAGGCCTCCCTCTATTAGGGGATGACTCATTACTTACTTTTATCTGTTTCTCAACTTTTCAAAATAGCAATTGTACCACAAGAGAACCTTTATTGTATCAGAATATCATATGACAGGAAGAGTACTTAGAAAATAACATTTTCAAAATGCAGCTCACAAGGTGATGTACAGAGACCACATCATTCTTACCCACATATTTGTACACCTGTAATTTCTAACGTATGAGCTTTCACTACATGCCACTTGGACCATGGTCCCTGGAATTCTGTCCGGCCCTACGTGTTGAACACCTGGCAAATCAGACCACGCGTGCAGACCGGACGCAAACCACTGTGCAGTCCTCACCAACACTGTAAATACACTTTCCCCAATAATTATATCCAGCAGCATTTCAGATTGCGTCGTCTATAGCTTCAACAAGCCTCAACTCGTTCCTCACATTTCCTCCAAACAGTCTAAGCACTTACAAGAGGCAAACAAAGATTTATGGCCTCAAAAAACAAAGTTGCGAAGTACCTGAAAAAACAGAGCAACAGAAGTTACGTTTTACTTCCAACACATGCTTCCTAATATTCTTCTGGAAGTCATCAGCACTCTAAGGTCCAACCATCAGCCTAAATTGTGTAGGAACTAGCCATACAAGAGGTCTGTTTAAAATATTAATCCAAATGAAACATGAAGCTCACTTCTCAAGTACCACAGCATCCTACAGCTTATCAATGAAGTTTCAGTATCTTGTCAGTGTGAAAACAAATAAAATAAAAAACCAAGATCAGGACACAGTTTTACTTACAGCTTTCATCAAAACAAGATAGTTATGAAGCCAGATATCTGCCCACGCAGTATTCCAGAAGTATTTTCGATACATACAGTCAATTTTGGACACAAGAAATTTCTTGATAATGTTGTTTTCCACTAAGAATTTTCAAAATCCATTTCCTCAGCTCTAACAGTCCTAGAATTAGTTTATGCTGTCTACACTACACTGTATGGAAGTGTACGTTAGTATCACAGTGATTTTTAATAAATATTCCCATAATAAAGGTTTAGTTTTCACAAAACTCAACATTCAAGCTATAAAAATACCAGTTTAAAGACGACCTCGATTTTTCACTTTGTTCCTCACTCAGATTTACATTTCTGATTTACAAAATAGAAAGCAAAACTTAAGCAGGAACTTAAAGAACTATGCTTTCAAATTTAGCAAATATACATATACATATGCAGTCACTAGAGAAAGTTATAATAAACTTCAAGATTATGACTGTTCAGTAAAAAGCTGCTTTACATATTAAGCACCACATTTCCCTAACAGGGGAAAACTGAAACTAAACCACATAAGAATCCACTATAAACTGAATCGCACTCCTGTGTTGCTCTCAGATACTAGGTAAGTGTTATAAATCAGAATAATGGAGCACTGTTTTCCAATTCAGTGAAATGGCAACGACAAACATGCTGGCATAAGCAGTGACATTCCAACATATGAACCAAGTATATACAATAGCAAGTCAATTGTTACGAGCAGCAATGGAAGCAGCATTAACAGGGTAAACTTTTTCTAACTGCACACAAGGCATTACACACTTATTTTCTCGGTCAGTGAAATGCCCCGTTTCATTTCTTAACTCATTATTATTATGTCCCATGCATAGACCCTTTCAGAGTAAACTCAGCAACATTCTCAGCATGAATTCTTTCATTTAAAGGAAGAAATCAGTATTGCCTTTTTAAAAATATACATGTAGGTCTTACTAATATTTGCTTCAGAAAAAAAAATCAGTACTAAAAGATACATACCATCGTCTCAGGGTTTTGTTTGTTTGTATTTTTAAATATTACTTCTTTACAAACTACTAGAAGTGTGAAGCATATGGACCCACAGAAAAAGTCTACAATTCCACTGTGCTGAATAAACCAAATAAAACTGATGTGGTGGTTGTAGCTTATTTACAGCATACTTCTGAAATTCAGTGCATCAGGAAATTACACTTTATCTCAAAGAAATCTAGAATTTTTTGAAGATATTTGATGGAAGACCAATGTTTTTATCAAAGTTAAGGATGTCACAATATCTTTGCACAATTTCAAAAATCAAAGGTGTCATAGTAAAGTGAGTCTAAATTGAAGGAGAACTGATTTCATGTAACATAACTGGCCTTTAGAGTTCAAAGTCAGATGCTCAACTTGACAAGGATCTAAACCAGATGTGCATGAATGAGACACACTGATGAAAAAAATGTTACCTTTTTTTAAAAAAGGCTTATTTGAAGATTAACAGAAGGCCAATGGCAGGCTGTCTTCTCAATGTCAGTGCAGAACGGAGTTTTTAGTTTTCAAATTTACAAAAAGACGTGACATGACTTGCTTCTCCCCAAATCTTGCAGTAGCAGAACAACTGCAAGATTCACATTTCTCTTCTAGGAAACCAGTACTATCACCTAGAATAGCTCACTGACGTGTAACAGTTTCCGAAGAGCGTTAACATCATGTTTTAGCCATCAACATCACTACCACCAATTACTTTAAACATTATAGCTTGAAGCTGAGCAGATGCCTTTAAAGACTTTCCAACAGGTTAGAAGGGCTTTAACAATTTCCAGGAGATGCATTAAATCATTCTATTGTGACATCCAAGTGGCAATACCTTGTGATACAGTCTGCTGTAACAAATAAAGCTGTTTAGATGAGTTCATGCAAAGACTCTCGGGTCAATGAGGATGGGAGTGAGAAAAGAGCTTGGAAACTTACCCAGAGCAAAGTACTCAAGCCCTAAAGACAGGTGAAAATGAAGGGGCAGGGGGAAAGGAATAAGACACGGGAAAGAAATATTAATCTATTTTTAAAAGGAAATGAACCATTTAGCTTCCAAAGGTGAAAGTTGGATAAACTGAGGCAATTGGGTAAAAAACTACACTACCTAACATCCAAAACTAAATGCTGCTAGGGTTCAGCCTCCCATCTAATTTGCCTCAGTGCTCTGAACAAGTTTCCTAGATGTGCTGTTTTCACAGAAGTAACAATTAGAGGAAATGTTTTCAAAACAAGACACCAAGTGTTTGCAGCAAGGATTATATTTATAGCCCACAAAGGACAACATACATCCAGTGTTTTTCTGAACAAACACCAGTAACATCACAAACTAACCTATGAAACTCAACAAACACCTAAAGGAGTAATGTACATAGACACACAACTTTGCCTCAATGAAGAAAATAAATTCTGGACCCAGAGAGAGCCCTAAAACACATGGGTTTTAACCAGGTGTTTACGCAAAGTACAAACAGTTTTCCTATTCATCCCATGAACACTCAGGCTGGTAAGAAATAGAGCTGGCTTCAAGGAACTTTTTTTTAAGCTTACTGACTTTGATACACTATCAAGAAGATAGATACAGATTGGACTGTAAGCAACCAGTACACCATAATATTCTACAGCCTAAATTAAGAAATCTTTATAAAAAGAAATTGGAAGAAATGGTAGATAAACTCAGCTGTCAGAAGAACAGGACTGTCAAGTTCAAATTTGTCCAAACCCAATCCACAGGTATCATTTATGGCAACTGCAGTTTGTAGCATCTAGCCTTACCAGCAGATTTTAATTTTTAAAGTTTTTTAAAACAATTAACATTGTGCAAGAATACTTTATGGCCATTTCTGCTTTCACCACAGTTCTGTAACACATACCATCGAATGTGGGGAAAAAAGCATTACCTTGTTGGCATTTCAAGCTTCGTCTGCTTACCACAGTGACTAACTGCTTGCTACTGTTTACCTCAGTTTGCATGATAGATATGGGAGAGAGGAATTAGTTGTTTCAACCTGAATTAGAAGGTTAGTTATATATACACCAAGTTCTAAAAAGAAATTCTCTGTTACAGAGAAAACAGCTTCGTCTTAGTGACAGCTCAACCTGACTTAACACCATCTCTTTTTAAAGCACAATTATTCTGGACAGTAACAAACAACTCCAACTGTCTGGATAAACATTTTTGTCCACCCGCTGTATTTTCCATCACGGATAAGACTTAGATTCTAACAGCCTTGCCTGACAGCAGAATCTCCTCCCTTTCAGATGTAATGAACTATTTAGTGCTGCTCTTCCACTCTTCTGAAGGAAACAAACAGAACTTGCTTATTGACTACACTGATATAACTGGATAGGTAAAAAACCCGAATTAGGAAGATGGTAAGAAGGCAAACATTCCTGTGGAGCATACTGATGTCCAACCGTTACCCTTCTTGAAGCAGTGTCAAAAAGAGAGAAAACCCTGTACAGTGTTCCAAAGAAAACATACCAACAGTTTGCCCAGAAGATACAATCAATTCAGCTTGGCAGGGAAGGGGCACCTTTCTGAAAGGGTTTACAGAATCATGGAGGAGCATCTAGTTCAGTATATGGAAAACATTTTGACAATACTCCACATCTTCCAAGATGCACCATTGGTCCCCTTATAATTTGAAATACATTTAATTGTATGGCTTAATAAAAGATAAGAAACAATAAAAGTATTCTGGTTGAGTCACTTTGAAAGTTCAAGCCTAACCATCCATCTAATTGTTATGGTCATTTATTAGTAAGTAGGCAAAAGCTTTAAAACTCAGTGCTTTGAGAAATTTTGATGGTGTACACAGAAATTCTAGATCAGCAAACACAAAGCACAGTAATATTAAAAAAATAATCAAAAATATTTTTAATCTAAATACATCAAAGATGGCTTGTATTAAGTTTGAATTTATAAAGTCAAGGAAGTATATTCAAGCTTTCCCAGAACACAAGAAAAGTTCAAATCAAGAGGTGATACTCCACAATGCTTTAAATATACAAGTCATAGAATCAGGAAGAATTTTTAATTCAGAAGATTATCATAGAAGTAATTAAACCAAACATGCTGGATCTATGCAGAAGGTCAATGCTCCAACATACAGACTAATTGTTACATAAAGCCTAATTCTTATATGCCAAAGTGTCAGGCATTACTATCATCTGCTAAATACTAGTTATTTCTTCACTTGTCCAAATAGATTTAATAAGTATTACTGAATATATTCTCAAGATAAAGACCAGATTTACAGAACCCCAAGATCTGAACATCAAGATACACCGCTGTATTTGGTTTTCTGCTTGGAAGGTCTAGTATCTGTTTCATCTGTTCAGGTCTATGTCGAGTTTCAATTATACCTAAAACTAGTATCTTTATTTCTACTGTTTGTGCTGTGACTGGTACAGTAATCTTGCAATACGAATATTCTCATTTTGATCTGTTGAACACTTTCTATTACATTGCTACATGTACCACCCCTGCTATCATTTTTCTTTTAACCATACACAAGATAACTGTGTTTGAAGTTTGCATCCCGACACACTGAAGCAGTCAGTAATTAGCCTACAAGCAAAAAAAGATATGGCATCTCATTCAGACACAGAACAGCTACACAGAAGTCTGGTTTACCACAACGGAATTAGACTTCAGGAGGGACACACAAGTTGAAACTAGTTCATTGGCAAAGCAAGCAAGACTTAAGTCCTGAGAATTAAGCTATAGAGATAAAAGCACTTGAAATGAAGGAAACTGCATATTTTCATGAGAGTAGGTAACCAAAATTTTCCATGTTTTCTCTAACTTAACTCTATAAAAATGAAACAGGATGTATGATTCCATAAGTTATATATGCAGTCTTCTGTTGAGGTTTGTTTTTACAGAGAATTAAATTTTAAATTCAATCAGGAATTGAGTCTTAAAATAATCATCTGTTGTCAGCCCTTAGTCCTGCAGTTACGTCCCAAGCACCATCACTCATTCATACTATTTTATGCAAAGAAATTCAAAATATGCAAATTTATATATTATTTTCCCTAAAAAAGCATACATATTAGTGAATAGATGTCCAAACTGGAGCTTGGAAGAGCTGTAAAGGAAACACACAAAAAACTCCACCACCTGAACTTTACTTGTCAGTCACCTACATGGGGCAAATTCAAGCTTTAATACTTCAAACTTTTGACCTTGGACAGAACACTTAGAAAACCTAAAGATATCTTTCTGTACAAGTCCAAAACTTACTCTGCACAGACTGAGAGAATTGACTATACCTGCCTTAGCTCCTCAGAGCTCCCTACTGTTTTGTGTTCACTGTGCTATACACCTCACACGCTGTGCAGCAGGTTTCCAACACAGTGTCTTCAAAGACCACAGAAAAGTCAAATCCTTTTACAGGCTATTTAAGCTGCAGTTCTGACAGCACAAGTCATGTGGTGCACTTTCTGAGCTCTGAATACATGGGTTGCCACCATTTAAATAAGCACACATCACATTAGAGTGCAGCCTGATAGAAACTTAGTTATTCAATGGCCTAAGTCTAAAATAAATGCTCAAAAAGAGAAGCCTTCAAGCTACTTATTGAATAAGTAATTTGATAGTTATTTTAATCCATTTAATCAGCTTCATGCAGCTTCCTTAAACAGGGTACAGGCTGAAAGCAGACCTATGCTCAATTCACTCACCCTTCTCTTCCCAAAAATATAACATGGGAAAAGTGCTCATGAACAAAATCATTTACAGCTTCCTGTTTTTCTCAGTGTAAAGGGAACATTTGGTAGTTATTTCTGCAAAACCCTCCATCTGGAAATTTTAGAGTCTTCAAGGAAAGAAAACATACCTGCTATAGGCACATATCCAACGCCTTGCTGATATACAGTGGGCATCAGGACCACTGGCTGAGGCTGCATCATCATGGCAGCTGGCAAAGACTTGACACAAAGCACAAGAGACAGATTAGAACTACTCAAGAAACAGAAAGAACTAACCCAGCAATTTCAGTAATTTAAAAAATATTTGAAAAAAAATTGTCACACTGCAAACCCACATTCTGTATTACTGTAAGACTATATAAGTGCTAATCTGTATTAAGCAAATTCTCTGGCAAATTAACTGAAGCACCATCCTTTTAAATGACAACTAATTTGCCCATAAATCAGTATAAATCTATCCTGTCAAACTTGCCTTTTGCAGCAGTTTGATAGATTTTGCCACTGACAATTTGTTACTGAAGTGAATTATTTTAAAATACGGGTTTAATCAGCTTTCATATATTCATTTCACAAGAATAAGGCACAAGGTATTCATCGTAAATGAAAACATAGATCAAACCTCAAATTTATTAAAAGCAGTATACTGCTCTTAGAAGCAAATTTTAGTTCCAATCAATTATTTTTGAGGTAAATCAGTACTTTATCATTTTAACTCCATTCCCTTTTACTATCACAATCCTGTATAGTTTGATCCTGGAAAATATTAAAAGGTCAGATTCAATGTACTATACATTAACAGGCAAACAGTTTTCAAGGTTAATTACAAATTCATTTCTTGTAGGGTTAATGGAACAAGCGTTCAGATGTGGAGCAGAATGTGAATTTCAAAGAGCAGGGAACATTTGTTCCCACTTGTGCACTCAACAGCAACTTGGAACTTTTGATCATGTACAAGCACAGTAGGAATTATTCAGGGCTGCACATGCTATCCAATTGCTACTTAAGACTAAAGTAACAGATGACAGAATAGCCCATGAGCTGCTAAATGGACCAGTCTAAGTCAGCACTTCATGACTAGGAGCACCAAATGAACAAGAATGGAAGTCATCAGGAAGAACATTCAAACTATCCACAAAGACCTAAACCAGAGAACCATTTCCATTATTTTTGCATTTACATTTACATGACTTTCTATAGATTGAAGGATTAATAAGTTAAAAAGGACAATGGTCCATTTGACTGAGGAATTATTTTTTATACTTCTATTAGCTCAGGAATAAGCTGAATTTGTGTAATTTCAAAACCAGATAAATACCCATCTACCACGTCATCAAAAAGTATTTACTGCCGTAACTAGTATTTTGGACTGCGATTCCCCAAGTTAAGTATAATTATTGTGAGTGCTGACACACACAAACAGCCAGTAATGTACAACGGAACGACTTCTACCTCAGCCTAAAATACTTCCCTCTCACTACCGAAGAAGGTTCTCTCCCTTCCTCCTCCCACCTCAAACTTGGCTTACCGTGTACGACATAACCAGATTAATCATTCCTTCCTTGTCATCACCCTGCCTTCCGCTCAGGCTGTACCACTCATCCTCCACATTTCCTTGCTTCAGAGATTCAGGAATTGTAATGTGTGTCCAAGCAATGCGGTCATCCATTGAAAAGGCTCGCTGGAATGGAATTAAAAGAATATTATGAAATTATTTGTCAAAAGAAAAACAAACAACCCCACACAAGAAAACACCACCAAAAAACCAACACCCTTCCCTTAAAATTATTCTTGGCTAACACTTCCTTCAGTTTTATGTCATTTCATTTTGCCAATTTTATTTTTTAAGTTATTCCTTTTGAAATTACTAAAGTGTCATTAAATATTTTAGCCACCTCTCTTCCAACAAAGATAAATGATGATTTAATTGGGATTATAGACTGATTGCAGATATTCAATAATATCTGAAACTAAAAACCTGAAGCAGAACACTTCTAGAACTTCAACATATCATTATCAGCAGTCTGTGTAAATCTAGTGACGTCATATCAGAGGCCATTAAATGAATGTAAACAACTTCGGTTTGCTACTGCTGTTGCGGCAATGAAACAAACACTTCAACCAATAAATAAGCCCACAAAAGAGCATCCAAAAGCTTCACTTGTGTGATGACCACAGTTGGTGCAGTGTCACCAAGGTACAGCACACACCATAAGAGAAGTAGCAAAAAAAAAAAGGCAAACCACAGACTTTAGCCTCAGTTGCAGACTCAGTTTAAATTGTTCAAGAAAGCACAGTTCCGCAAAGTCAAGGTCAGTATCTTGAGCTGGAACAGCTGAAATGTTGGCAGCAACATCTAGTAGAACAACGTACTAGATAGAATCCAAGGTAGTACACTACCAGAAAACCTTCCAGAAAAGCCGAGCAGATTCCCTACCAGAGCTGCTACTCAGACCCATTCAATCCCTAAGAAAATGAAATTGTTCGGAGGTTAGGTATGTGCTACCACTGTGTCTTAAACAAAGCGTAGACAAATGCCTACACGCCCCCTTGGAATGAAATTCAGGCAAGTATCAATCAAATTTCTGCTAACAAATCACAGTGATTACATACAGTCTATATTTGACAGTTTTAGCCTCAGCATTTCGAAGCTTGGGAAAGCTTCCAAGTTCCTCCTGGGTTAGAATAACACTGAAGACTGAGTAAAATAGCAGTGTGTAAACAAGGTGTTTTTAATGCGGACAGTCCAGAACATAAGGCTGCAAAGCATTCTGGTAGTGAAGAGAAGCTTAAACACCACTCAGACATTTTCATTTCTCTTGTTTTGCCCCTTATCAGCTACCAAAGGAAAAGTAACAGCTCTGACATTCTTGGGGAAGAGTGAAACCTTATGCATTGCTGCTCTTTGGATTCTGAAAAGTTATCATCTCCCAAAGAGCACAGCAAAGAAACAGCCTTTTGTAACTCAATCCTTTTTTGCAAGTTTCCACTCAAACCTCAGTCCAAACAGGAGATGGGGGAGTGAAATATAGTAGTTCTGACCTCATCAAATATCTCTAGATAAAAAGAGTCCACACCCGGGGGAACAGTGCACTGAATAACTTTGTTCCAGCGGGGGTTCTTGGCTCCGTTATGTGCTGTTGGAGTTTCATACACAGCGTACCCCAGCCGTATCCGACAATACGGATCCATGCGAGTCATTCCATAGTTCTTTGCCAATTTTGCCTGGAAAGAAAAAAAAGCCTTTAAATGTATAATATTTACATTAGCTTGAGAATTACTATTAGTTCACAAAGAGAATCAGATAATGAAGAAGAGACAAGATTCAATTATGAGGTAGACAGGAAGGAAAAATAAAATAAGAAAAACGGCATCCAGATTAAAAAACCAGAAGAGCCAATGACACCACTAAATCTCTGAGAGACTTGAAGAGAACCTCTTTTTAACCTGCCTGCTGTAGACAATATACATCTTCACCACAGCTAAAATAAGTTACTTCATACCAAACCCAAAGCTACTACTGTTTCTTTGTAGTCATGTAAGCTCAATATTTGCTGAGGTATCTGCTCTCCAGTATCAACCAAACTTGATGTGATAAGTAACCTGCCCTCTTTCACTGAACTACTCGTATAAAATCAGAAGATATCCCACATACATTTGCTGGAACATCAGAGGAATAGAACAAAACAAGTTCTATCAGTCCTGAAGACAGCATGAGTACTGTTGCATAACTATGCCAAAGTAGAAATTTAGTCACTCAAATTCCAACGCACAATCTTTTTGTTGCCACCAATCTAAAAAGGTTGGATTAATAAACTACAAGTGCTTAATTGTACAAAGATACAATTTGTACCTGTACTACAGTAATGCTGAGTCTGCCTACTGTACCCATTGGTCCTCCATACTGTAGCTGCTGAGCTGCCTGGGCATCCAGCTGGATTTGCTGTTGCTGCTGGGTTGGCGTAATGCGAAGAAAATCTTGAGGAAGCTCACCAACATACACCTTTAAAAAAGCAAAGAAAAAGAAAAATACCTTCAAACTTAAGTCTACCACATTCACAATTAAAAAGGGAAGAATATAAATCAAAGAAAAGCTTAGCAATCAACATTTGGCAGCATTTAGTCTAGTTTTAACATCACGAACAAAGAACTAATTAAATGACAAAACTGCCAACTCATGCAGAGAATGTTCTCATGCTCGCTTTCAAAAACAGTAATTTCCAACATAAGCCTCTGAAAAAAAAGTAGGACATGGAGCCAAGGCTGCTCTGCAAGTAAACATTTAAGTAGTCCACACCAAAGTCAGAGATACCAATTTTTACATCCCATTCACATATGACATCTGAGGCACCCAGCTCTCTCACTTATTCATCACTTGTGGCATCCAATCATTCCTGTGACAAGGCAACACCCTGCTTTCATTTGAAAGGGTCACTTCCACAGTCGCCTTTAATACAGATCACAAACCAGTGTTTCCTATGAACCAAATCCTTTAACATAACTATGAATTCTGAATGCAGTACTCCAGGTGGGGG